GGTCAACATATCGAAAGGTTGGGGGTTCGACTCCTTTCCCGCTCACCTATCGCCTGCCAATTAAGGCTGATTGACCTCCCACGCGTGTGTTGCAGACTCGTACGTGTGGGCTTGAGGTTATTCGGTCAGCGCGCCGAACATCGGCGAGATGCTGACATGGCACACACCAGAGGGCCTTGGACGTTGACGGTCTCATTTTTTAATTCGATTAATGTGACTTGCATTTGTGGAATTCCTTGGACATAAATTAGGATTTCTATATATATATATATACACACACACAATATTGAAATGCATATAATGTAAGGAAATGCCCTTATAAATACTGCTATAATTGGAAAACTCCCAATCGTGGCAAATAATTAGCATATATGCATGAAACTGAACGAAATGACGTCATATCTTATAATGCTTCGATTATTATCTCTATACACAAATAAAATATTATTAGCTTTTTTTTTTAATTTCAATATTATTTTTAGGGTTTATTAGTTTGTTGATTGTTTAGGGTTTATTAGTTCTTTTTTATATTTTACATTACTAAGTTTTTTTTCCACGAAAATTGTTAGATTAGATTAAATTAATGATTTAAAGGACAATCTTTCGCTACAATCCGAAAAAATCACTTTGGACAAGAGTTTGAACAAATAAAAAAGAAGATTAACGATTCAAAACAAATTTCGCAATCGTATCAGCTAGAATTACTATTCCTTTGGATATGAACCAAACTGATATTTGGGAACCTCTCCCAAATCACTTCAATTTCTTGAGTGTATCTCTGCAAATTTAGTGACTTCTTGTTGTTATTGATCTCTTCTACAACGTCTTTCACATCCACCTCCAATATCATAGTCCTACAAACCTCTTTATAACATGCATTTCATCGCCCATAATAGTTCGGAGAATTCTACTTTTATAGGGGATTCAATAGCATATATTGCTCGGACACCCCAACAAATAACATTACCATCATGATCTCTTAGTAGCCATCCCATACCACAAATATATTCTTGAGCTTTCCACGATCCATCCATATTACATTTCAACATACCCGTCGGAGGTTTTATCTACGGGATAATTTTCCGACTTGCTTGCCACTCCGCACAATCTTCTTTAACTTTTACTACTGTTTCAAATGGTCGATATTCCTTTTGAGTAAAAATATATGCGTTGCGGTTCTTCCATATCCGCCAGAGATACCAAGGAGATATTAAAAAAAAATCATGAACTTCACGGTAAACGTAGAACGTCCGTTCTGGGTTGTCCAGAACGGACGGACCGCTCGCGCAGTCCGGAACGTCCGTTCCAGACCATAGAACGGACGGACCAGACTGTCGGCAATGACCACAGTCGCGGGTTT